AGAAGGGATGGGAGGATGTAAAATTTTAAATCTGAGTGGCTAGAAGGATCTAATTCTCGGTGCACGGACTGTAGAAATGTTAAGCTTAGATCCTGGGGGAGTCCTTTGAATAGGGAGGAAAGCTACTAGACAATAGAGAGTAGGGAGCTGTGGCTTAAAGGTAGGCGGGGGCTTGCCTGTCCGATGTCCTAAGGGCAGCACCTTCTCAGCCACTGCTGTTGCCCAACCTGCTTCTCACGCATGTCTGATATGTCTCCTTATGATGTGTGTACTGCATATCTCCCTCCTGGGCTTTATTTTTTGTGGGCATTACTCATCTTACCATTAGATGATGGTATAAAGCCTGGAATTCCAGCTTCCTTCACCCCAATCACCAAGCTCTGCATGTGATAAAGAGCTGTCTTATATTCTATGTTCCAGCTACAATGAACTCTTCAATTTCTTCCAAGGAACCATGCACCTGTGTTTTCAGGCCTACGCATATGCTCTTCTCTCTACCTAGAACGTTCTTCTCCCTCCTTCTCTTCACATCATCTCACTAATTTATAATTATTGTCTTATCTTGGCAGGGATGCTCCATGCTGGGGCTCCTTCTCTATGCTCCGTGACTCTATGTGTTGTTTTATCTTTACTCTTCCTTCTGTCACCCAATTGGAAGTGAGCCATTTGCTTGTTTACTAGAATGTAAGCACCATGAGGACAAAACATGTCTAACTTTTTTGTGATCTCCCAATGTCTATCACATTGCCTAGCACCAACCAGGGAATCACTAAATAGCGGTCATGTGTGGTTAGTTTCCATACAATTTATTTTTTTGGTGGGCATTACTCATCTTACCATAGACAACGGTATGAATCCTGGCATTCCAGCTTCCTTCCCCCTATCACCAAGCTTTACAGATGATAAAAATCTCAATAAATGTTCAAAATAACTTGAAATAAATAAAAATAGCATGTCATATGTGCTATACATCTGATACTTGAAGATAAACTAAGCTAAGAAAATAATCTTTCATTACATATAAAGTAAACGTTTGAAAGTGTTATAAGCTCTTAAAATTTGTGGCACCTTAAAAAACAGGGGGAAAAAAAACTGTGATAAAGAAATGATCAAGTTGACTTGAAGTTCATTAATAATTTCAATTAAGTTTTCTGATTTTTACTACAATTGGGCAGTTTTAAGAATACCAATTCCTACTTAATGTCTAATTTCTTTCCATATTAGTATTTGTATGCTTCATCCATGAATAAACTATTTTGCAAAATTTTGATGGGTAATGATCACTCTTAGACCTGTCTCATAATGAGATTAATGGCAAGTTTCTATCAATACATATTTCTGGATCTCAGACTTGGGGATTTAAATTTAGCTTACCAGGTATTTCTAATGATCGAGGAGAATTCAGATCAAAAATGCTCACGTCTTCTCGTAAAGTACTTTCTCTAAGTTTGTAATTAAAGAAACTTCTGTTAAGACTTGCCATTTTCCAATTACCTATTAATTTTTAGGAAAAAAACAGTTGTGAAATTATGCGTTTCTAAAATTCCTGGATATGATAATTGATTATTCTTATAGGTTTCAATATTTATCATCTAATTTATACTTGAATTTATTCTAAAATCTGTTATCAAGTTGCATATTAGAACACTACAACTCTGTATAACTCTGATTTTATTGACAATTTATGGGTTGAACTGTGCCTCCTAAAAAAATATAAGTTGAAGTCCTAATCCCTAGTATCTCAGAATGTGACCTTATTAGGAAACAGGGTATTTGAAGATTCAGCCAAATTAAGGTCATTAGTGTGAGCCCAGTAGGACCAGTGTCTTTACAAACAAGGGCTACTTGGATACAGATTCAGACATGCACAGAAGGAAGACAACAGGAACAGACCGAGGAAGAATGCTATGTGAAGACAGAGTATTGGAGCGATGCAGCTCCAAGGCAAGGAATGCCAGAGAATACTGGAAAACCACCAAACACGAGGAAGAAGCGAGGAAGGGAACTTGCATGTATCAGAAGGAGAATGGCCTGCCAACACCTTGATTTCAGACCTCTAGCATGTAGAACTATAAAATAACCAATTTCTGTTGTTTTAAGCTTTTCAATTCTTGGTACTATGATTCAGCAGCCTCAGCAAACTAACACACTAGTAGAGGTAACTCTTCACAGTACAATTTGTTATCATTGAATCCTTAAAATGTAGTTTGATTTTAAAGGACAAGCTTCATTTGTCCAAGGCAAAATTGAGGTGACAATATGAAAAACCTCTCCCTTGAGTGCCCTCTTTGGCAGCCTAGTGAAGCCTATGGACCCCTTCTCAGAATAATGCTTTTCAATTTATAAAATAATATTTAAAAAGACATTGGATTATGAATGAATCCAATTATGTTGAAATACTTCTCATAAGCCACTGAATTATGAATGAATCCAATTATGTTGAAATACTTCTCAGAATACCATATTTGTTATAGTGATATATCATGTACTTCATTAGCAACACATTAATAAGATCTAGCAAAAAGTCTATTAGTGATGAGAATAAATGGTATTTTGAGGTAACTACAGTATGATGTGAAAATATTGGTGAATTCTCTTTTGACAAAGTCACATGTACTGTTAATGCTATTGTAGTATCTTTCCTACACTCAGAATTTAAAGAAATGCTAACTTTCAGGTACAGGTTAGTGAAAATAGATATGTTAATTTATTCGCAGCCCTGTCTAAGGATGCTCTGAATTTATCTGTGGACCATTTAGACGTTGGTAGATCCCAAGGAAAGAACTCTTGAAGAGACAAGATTCTCTGCCTTTATTCACAAAATTATCTTTTTCCACGTAGATAGAGTTGGTCTAAATGTGGGTATCTCTCAACATCTCCTCCTGGTGTGTCTTTCTGAACTGCAGAGGGAAGCTGAACCCACACGTCACAGATTCTCTTGCAGCTAAGGTTCTGAACATGTTCTAGGTTCCACCAATCAGTACTTATGTGAGTGTGAATGAAGGAAGTGAAGCAGAAGCCATTGTGTCTGCTGCTTCCACTAGCAAGCCTGGATGTGGATATAGCTGGACTTTTGAGGCAGTCTTACTATGGTGCTAGTGTCCACCACTAGATTTATGGGTGCCAAGCAGCAGGGTACAGGAATATTTAGCCGGCACGGATCCTGGCAGTTGTGGCATGGTTCTGGGAGCTGGCAGCAATAGTATCCAAATCTTGGCAGCTGCTAAACTGTGACAGTGTCAGTGCTTCGGGTTTACAGGAGAGGCAGCCCCTCCCTAAGTGCTTGGGTCCTACTTGGTGGCTTCGAGGTCATTACTGATAACACAAACTGCAGTCTGTTTCCTCTCTCCTCCCTACACTTATGCAATCAACTTAATGTCCTGAGATAAATCTCTTCTTGCTTTAACTAGCTAGTATGAATTGTTATCTGCAACTGAACTCTGACCCATAGAGACTACAGTTCATATTCCCTTCTATAAAGTTCCCGTTTCTTTAAGAAGTACTTTTGTCAGATGAGTTGACTGTACAGATGGCTGCTGACTTACAATGGTTCAGCTTAACAATGGAGAGAATGTGATAAGCATTCTGTAAAAACCATGCTTCAAATTTTGAATTTTGATCTTTTCCCAAGGTTAGCAAGACGGGATACTCTCTTGCGGTGCCGGCAGCAGCCGTGAGCTGCGTCCCCCGGCTAGCCACGTGATCCCAAAGGCAAGTAACTACCACTCAACACTGTATAGTCATGCGCCACATGTTTTTGGTCAACAATGGACCACACATGTATGATGGTGGTTTCATAAGATTATAATGGGTTATAAGCAAAAAGTTTGTTGGCAGTTTTGAAAGAAAAGGCTGACTAGGGTGTTGAATTTACTGCTAGCTCTGGGTGGTTTAAATACAAGAGGCTCTCAGCATGCTGCCCTCCTGCAATGTGCCCACGCACAGGCCCGCACACACATGTGTGCACAGACTCACTTCCCTTCCTTCCACTTCCCTTTCCCTCTTTCCTCCCACTCCTGTTCCTTTCTCTCTCCTCCCCAATCCCTTTTATCATTCCTCACCGCAGATGTAGTTCTCTGGGCCTCTTTGGATCTCTGCTCTCTCCTTCTCTCCTCTTCCCCTTCTTCCTCCCTCCCGCAAAGGAGGGTGACTACTTCCTGATGCCCACTTCCTTTCCAAAAATCACCTCCCTCGCCAGCGCTCCCCTGATCCCCAAAGTGCACATACACATTCTTTTTTTATACTGTATTTTTATTGTATCCCTTTAGATACACAAAACCCATTCTCTCCAGAATTCTGCTCTGCTTCAGCTAGTTATAATCATTTTTTAAAGGAGCAATTACTGTCAAATTACAATAAGAATATTAAATTGTTAAAGTAAAAAAATAAGCTTATTTTAAAACGCCAACTTTGTGAACTTTAAGTTAAAACTATCTTTGTGTGGACGATTTAAAAAACGTGGCTTTAATAAACAAAAAAGTACATTTAAGCCTTTCCCCTCTTTTTTTTCTTTGCACTCTAAGAACACAGGCATTTCTGCGGTTTCTCGGGTTCTGTAACGTGCACCAGTGCACCTGGGGAATCGTAGAACACTTGAGCTACCCTGGAAGAAAGCACGTCTTTTGCCTCTATTTGCCTCCATGTTTCCGGAGGAGAACACTCCAAACAAAGCCACAGATATCCAGGGAAGGGGTTCCCCGCTCCTGGGCCCTCTATATCCCGCAGATCACTGATAGAAAAAGGCGTTGGGCTTGGTTATGGCGGTAAGAAGTGAAATGGGAGAAGGTTCCAATCCACCCAACTCAGCCCCAGCAGTTTTCCAATGCCCCAGGGTTCGAGCTCGCCGTCGCCTGCCCAGCCCTTTCCCAGCTCCCGGCGTGGAAAGGGAAGGCCGGGCGGGCGGGGAAGGCTCCTGCGGGAGCGGGCGGGTCGGGACGCGAGCCCGGCGCCCGCCGATGCCCTGGCCTGCCCGGGCTCGGCGTCCCGGTTGGCACACTTACCAGGAGAAGCAGTAGGGCGCCCTCCGCGCTCCCCGCCATCGCGCCCACGTCCCCGCCGCGCCCTCGCCTCCGGCCGCTCGTTTCGTTCCGCGCCGCCGGCCGGGCTGGGTCACAGCGAGCGCGCGCTCGGCTTCTCCCAGGCCCGCAACTCTCTCCCCGCCCCACCTCTTCCCGCCTGCGGTGCCCGCGCGCTTGCCCACAGGCTAGGCCCCAAGCGCGGTCTGGGCTGCGGGCGCTGCTGGCTCTGAGGTGGGCAATTGGGGGAGGAAAGGAAGCTCGCGATGACTTCCTCCCTCCGTGGATCACCTGGACCGTGACGTCCCGGTTTGGGGACAACGCGAGGCAGGCCCCGCCCCCCTCCCAAACCCCTCCTCCCAGGAGAGGGGCCGGGACTCTGGGCCCCCAGGCAGGGCTTGCTCTGCCCTAGAGCAGAATCTCAGTGTCGGCGGTGAAGACCTGCAGTGTTTTCTGCCCGCTGGGTCGGCGGCCGCCCAAAGGCCCAGGGCGTTGTGAATAGCGTGGGGCCCAGAGCTCAGGTGCTCCGATGAAAGACGAGTGAGGTGGGAACCCTAGTCCTCACTGCATAGGTGGTGCGTGGGGCGCAACCTTAGGGAGCAGAGGTTCTGGAGCAGGGTTTCAGGTGGCTCTCTCCGTAGGGCTTTTCACCTCTTCCCCAAGGACCCTTAACTGCTTCCAACAGGTTTGCGGTTTATTTGGCTGAGGGAGGCAGTTACTAGAAAAATCACAGATGATCTAAACGGACAGTTCTATGACCCCTTGTTAACTAGATTCGATTAGGACAAAACCCTAGAGGTGTTAAGGGGAAAGGTACCCTCTTCAATATGATTTACAAAATCTCTTACACAAAGAGTAACTAGAGTTCAGAATCCTTGCTCCAATAGTTACTAGCTGGTTGATCTGGACAACCTTTCCTTGCCTAACTTTCCAGATGTGTCATATTGGACTAATAGTTCTAAAAATTAAATCAGAAAATCTATGTGAAGCATTCTGCAGTGTCTAGCGCGTAAGGGTGCGATAAATGATAGTGGTAATAACGATAATTATTATTGCAAATGTAAATGTTAACTTGAACTCTTCTTAAAAAACAAAAACACTAGCATCAGCACCAAATTAGGGAACTTCTAAGGAAGGTTAATTATTGGTGTTGGAGTAATGGAAAACCTATAAAAATATAAAGGGTTCATTTGTTACTAGAAAAATTTGGCTAATATAGCAGAGTTGCTTCTGTGGTCAAAGGTGCCCTCCTCTCCCTCCCCCGGGATCTCCGACCTTTCTCTCCCTAGCCCAGGTCTTCCCCAGCCATTGAGGACCAGTCCCTCTTTGAGCTGAGAGAACCACATTCTCCGTTTAGGGTGTAACAGCTGAGTGATTGTGATGGTGGTGAAGTTAGCTGAGGACTGGTATCTAGAAAGTGTGTGCTTAGCTTACCATTCTGTTTCCAGTGCCTAGAGCAGTGCTGAGTGCCAGGGGTACAGAGTTTAATTTGGAGGGAAGTATGTCTTCTAGTTTCTATTCCCTACACTTGAGTTAGACATGCATGGTAGCATACCTTGGTGAGAATGTTCATTCCCCATTGTGCTGGGAAAACTAATTAAACAAGGCTAGCTTTTTCTAAACCACTTTCACAAATCATTCCGGGAAACTATGCAGAAGTCCTATCTGAAATTAGTGTTCTATAAGTGAGCCTTATAGGCAAGTATTTATGCTTCATTATCAAGACTTTGGTTTCCATTTAACGAGGATAATTGCAGGTTCCAAAATGAGAACTAGCTAATGCAAATTTTATTGTTGGGTTACTCAGCTTCCGCCGGAGGCTTTCGAGATCAGTTTCAGGGTAGGATACCTTCTGTAAAACTTATTTCAAGGCTTTGAGAAAAAGTGTCACCATCTAGTGCCACAGTGTGTCATTCTTGAATTAGTTCCTCTTTACAATTCTGAAACTTATGATACAGCCAGTTGAAGAGGCTTGTTGAAAGTCAAATGATACACAGCTAGTTCTCTGGCTCACGATGCTTCTGCTGGGATGAGAGTAAATTTATTTCATAAATCTCTGTGCACAGAAACAAATGTGGCCATTACCAACAAAGGATTAATTATCACTTTAAAACAAATAGAAGTGTTAGCAAGATGTGAAAGACTTAACTTACAGGTTTTCCCTCTAAATTACATAAACATTATGGTAAATGTCCTTTTCTTAAGAAACATACTTATAATGCATGAGTTCAAAATATACTTTGTGCAAATAATTGGCTTTAACATCTACATATATTGAAAATAACTACCTGAAATACATTTCCCAGAATAATTTGCTGAATTCATACATACACATGGGTAAGAATAAGCTTAAAGTGATTAGCTTATTAGTGTCATCCCTTAATATTATCTCAAACATAAAAAGTTTGTAAAAAAAGTTTCATAAAGAATAACAAAAATTAATGTGACTCTTACCTACCATAGTAACCTCCTTATTCTCAATGCATTATAGCATTTATAAATCAACAGTTCTTGGCTAATGATTTGATAGATGGCTGATATTTGATTCCACTGAAAATCCCCATGAGGGTAAGAATTAGAACATCATCAAAGAATTAGGAGCTAAATCTGGTTGCTACCCTATGAAATGCCCTAGAAGCAAATAATAGTAATGTGTGCCAGTTAAAATATTTAAAAAATGTTTATTGTGGTCAGGAGGTTTACTCTTAGAGAGTTGATTAATAAAACATGTGTGGATACAGAAAAAAATATGAAATATCTCTAGGCGATGTGAGAACAGCAATGAAGGGAGGAATCTGTTTTTTAGTTTAGCTTCACCCATGTATTCCTTCATTTATTCAACATTTAATTTGTTCCTGTTCAACAAATATTTAATTTTAATTTTGTTGGGGATGCAAAGATAAATAAATGTTTCTTCTTTCAAAGAAACAAAAATAGATCTTTATGAACTAGATCTTATATTATGAAATAATGTGTCTTTAACTATCTGTAAAGTCTTATAAATGGAATGGTAGAAATATATGTGGGATATAATTTAATCATAAGGAAGGGAGTCCCAGACCCACACTTTGAACCATGAGATTAGAAAAAGCTTTTTGGGGGGTAGAGCAGGGTGGTATGGTGAGCTGACTCTTAAAAAAAGAATAATTGTGAAGGAGACATTGAACTTGCCAGGACAGAGTAACTCAAGGCAGGGACACTGTTGCTGAAGAGTCAGGGGTTTCAGATTTATCCATGGGGAAAAAAAAGCAGCATTATTTTTACCTTACTGACACAGAAAGGGAAGTCAGAAGTAAAAGTGTTTTTTGTTTTTCTGCTTTTTGGGGGTGAAAGTTGAATTTGAGATATTAGAACAATATCCAGTTAGAAAAGTCAAGTAAGTGGTTTGAAATGGGAAGGAAAACACAATTGCAGATTGATGTAGGAGGCAGAAACAGTCACCTAATTTTCTATTTTTCTGGCTGTGCTTTCTCAATTCATTTATTTTTCTCTGCCACCTGTTAAATGTGTATGCTTTTGAGTTTTTTCCTTCTTTTCTTCTTGTTTGGTACCAAGCATGAATCCATAGTTACTCCCATCGTGCAAATCTATCACAGCTTTCTCTCCCAATCCTCAAACATGGAGCATTACCATTTGGGTATTTCATAGGGTCCTCAAACAACCATAATAATTTCATAGGGATAGCAAACTCATCATACTGAAGGAAAAAAAAAAAAGATTTCTCCACCCCTCCACCCCTCCTCCAGCTCAATTTTCCTTCTTCATCATATGCCTTGTCAATTCGGCCAGCTAATCCAGGCACCTGGAAGCCGCCTTCGAGTCTTCTTTCCCTGTACTCTGCATAGCCAGTCACTTGCCCTTTCCCCCATTCCTTTCCCTTTGTGGCTCTGCTCAAAATGATTCATACACCGGCCTAGCAGCAGTCACACTGTGGAGTGTGGTTACCTCATCCATGTCTGCTACTCCACCCATCCCTCTTTCTCAGGAGTGTTAATACTTTGAAAGCAGAGATCATATCGCATTGACGGGGCCCAGCCCCTTATATCCAACACATATGAGATGTTCAATAGAAATTTGTTGAAACAAGCCCACGTACTGGAAGGAATTAAACATAAATGAAAAGTAGTATTGCAAAGAAAGGTTTTTGGAATATCCACTGTGGATAATATGCTAGTAGTGGATCTGGTCAGAAAATGTTGGTCTGGGACTGTGTGGGTGCGTACATGCATATTCGCACGCGCGCGTGTACCTGTGTTGGTTTGTATACGTGTTTTCTCCCACCCCATGGAAGCCAGGAGCAGGAGAAGAATAACAGTTGGTAGGTGTGAGCCAGGGTTGCAGAGTGGCCTGGCTGATAGTTAAGAGGTGTAGGTGTCCGGGATAGGCATGGACTTGAGTGTGGCGGAAGAGATGGGCAGGGCCAAGCCGGAGGAGTTCAGGGCCAGCTGAGAAGACAGTGTATTACATCAGGTGCAGGGAAACGGAGGAGGGGAAGGGCGTGGCCCCTTTTCACAGAGACCAAGGCCAGAGCGACACCACAGAGACAGGAATCAGGGTGCTGAGGTTCTCATGGACTCTGCGGTTAGATGAACCAAGTCGCCTCCACCTTAGGCAGTGAGAGAGGAGTTTTGGCCAACTTGGAGGTGGGGGATGTCCTCTTATGTTAAGAGGGTGGGAAAAACTGTTGCCTTTTTGAGCTAGAACTTACAGAGTAATAATGGAAGCGGAGCAGGCTGCAAGCTCTATATGGTCTATCGCAGAGAAGCCCGCATATTTTTAATGAAGTCACACACTTTGGGGACAACAATAGTCAGCCATGAGAGCACAGCCACAGACCAGCGCCCTGAATGCATGAGGGAGCCCTGAGCAGCGAGTCAGGTGTCAGGCTGAGCCGTTCCCCGTGGGTTCCTTGTGAGTCACTGTGAGAACAGGATGCTGGGATGCAAAGTCCCTGAACCAAAATGCATTAAGGAGATTGTTAACTTTGTTCATGGAACAGAGGAAAATTAGAAGAAGATGCTATAGGTGCAAAATAAGATTTAGCCCAGCAAAGAAAACAGAG